CTGAATGTCTGATGTTGAGATACAGCTGCTTGGGAATTTGCTATCCGTGCCTTGTCATCGGTGTTATCCTTCACTGATCCAGATAACGCGGACTTTCTGAGTAGATAATTGCAGGCCATGGAAGCAAAGTGTCTGTGAAACGGTTCGACGTTGAACCGGATTAAATTTGTTTGAATCACCTGTTTTAAACACTATTTTTGTATGCTCTTTATGACATTGTTCTTGTAGGCATGAACAGATGTCGCTTTTTTGCGGGATGCATAAGCAAACATGATTTGAACTAAATTATAGGACAAGGATGCTCGACGACAGTTATGGCGGTTAACGTCTGACAACATTTTGGTGAACATCGGCGTGACAGAGAGGACGCAGGCTTGCCTCAGGGCTACATCCGACGTCTACTGTTTAGATTTCGACTACCATTCGCAACAGAACCGACATATGGTTATTTTAAAGAAACTTTCAGCGTCTCACAATGACCCGATCTCGAAATGGCAATTCGACAAGGTGAGGGCAAATGTCTCGCGTCTCTGGCCATTTGTCTCATTTGCCGTATGTTCTTCTGTGCAGGATGGTGTGCTGAGTTGCCTGACGATCAAGTCACGTTTTCGAGCGAACAGCATGGTTTCCGGTAGCAAGGTGATGCTGGAGGAGTTGCCGGCGGACGAGGAAGCAAATGAGGGTTTGGTCGCAGGTTCCCCTTGCGAGATTGAGCAGTTTATCCGTCGGCGGCAGAAGTCTGGCAGCGGATATTTAACAGTGAACATAGCGCTGGACGGCCCCGCCAGGGTGCTGCGGATCGCCGACAAGGATCGACCTGACCACTGTCTCACCGCATCGACCATCGTCGACTCCTCCACTCTATTAATTACCAGCAGCACCACCACTGACCGTCCTTTCTCGCTCTCTTGCATCATCACCCTCCAGTGCCTCGGGGTTTCAGTGATCGACAGCGAAACTGAAGAGCTGGTTTTCGGCGTCATGAATGGTGTGCTGCTGAGTGGTCATTTCTGCGACGGGAAGTACAACATGGGCATCACGGTTGTGGAAATTCAGGTAATTTTCGTTGCTTCGTGTACGGGTTTTTCTCGTTCTTTTAACGAATATTGAATATTTACACCAAGTCAGTTCAAATGGATTAGAATGAGAAGCGTTCGTATCAGAAATGATAATATCGGATTGAAATGACGAATGCACAGTGTAAAGAAAAAACTATTTCTAACTTTACACCAACAGCTTTGTTGCATCGCTCTTTAATTCTAGATGCCTAGGGAGACCATTGACGCGGACCACGGCTCCGTGGTATCTAAGCGCCTGCAAGGCATAGGACGCAGTACTGCATCTCAACATGACATATTTTGACACTCTTTCGCCTACGGATCATGAGAATGTTCTTTGGTCGAACATACGTTTGTTCAACCCTTGTTTGAGATGCGTTCCTTTGTCCTATGCACTGGAGATTCTTAAATACCATGGAGCGGTGGTCTGTTTAAATGGCCCTTCTATGCGTCTGGCAACAAGGGCGTAGTACACAGAGCTGCTGATGTGAAGTGCCAGATACTTTACGCGTTGTATTTGCCGTTTTAATCCGGTGTCATTATTTTAATGTGATATATTCAGCGGCGGTATTGAAAGCTCTACCGAACA